GGGTGCATCTCTTGCAGCCTACAGGGGCCCTTGAGGGGCCCCCTGGGGCCCCAAAGGGGCACAAGAGGTGCACACTTCTCCCCCTGCCCCCGTGAATCGCCGCCCGTCGATTGACGCCCGAGTAGAAAGCGGCGCGCGGAGGGCGTGGCGCATCGGGAGGCGAGCGCCCCCAGAACATCCGCGACTGGGCGCCTTCAGTAACGGACCCCGGGCCCGCCATCTTTCGGTCGACGCTTGCCCCAGAGGCCCCACGGGCCCCACGGGTCCCACAGGCCCCGCAAGTCTCACAGGGCACCACGTGGAGCAGCGAGGCCTCGGCTGGATATGATTGCTCCACAGCTCCGCTGGGCCTCCGAGAGCCCACGAAATCGGCGACGGAGGCGCTGTTCGCACCAGCCGCGAGGTCTCGGCTGGATGCGCGTCTCCCGTACTCCGCCGTGCCTCCCAGGAACCCACGACAATGGAGACACTTGCGCAGCTGACATCTACCCAAGGAGCCGCGAGGTCTCGGCTGCGCTCGCGTACTCCGCCGTGCCCCCCATGAACCCACGAAAGTGGCGACAATTGCGCAGTTCGCAGCCACCTAGGGGGCTGCGAGGTCTCGGCTGGATGCGCGTACTCAACTACTCCGCCGTGCCTCCCAGGAACCCACGGAAAGGACGACAGTGGCGCAAATTGCAGCTTCCCCAAGGAGATGCGAGGTCTCGGGTACTCCGCTGGATGCGCGTACTCCCCTACTCCGCCGTGCCTCGCAGGAGCCCACGCGACAGTTGCACGGTTCGCAGTTTCCCAAGGAGCCGCGAGGTCTCGGCTAGGTCCGTTTACTCCCCTGCTCAGCCATGCCTCCCAGGAGCCCAGCGAAAATGATGAGAATTGCACAGTTTGCAGCCACCCAGGAGCCACGTGGTCTCGTCTGGGTCTGTTCCGTCCCCTACTCAACCGTGCCTCGCAGGAGCCCGCGAAAGTGGCGACCATTGCACACTTCGCAACCTCCCAGGGGCCTGCGAGGTCTCGGCTGGATGCGCGTACTCCCGTACTCCGCCCAGGAGCCCACGAAAGTGGCGACAGTTGCACAGTTCGCAGTCAGCCAAAGAGCTGCGAGGTCTCGTCTGGGTCCGTTTACTCTCCTACTCCGCGGTGCCTCCTAGGGGCCCACGAAAGTGGCGACAGTTGCACAGTTCGCAGCCTTCCAGGGAGCAGCGCAGGAGAAGGCATGACGAGGGGGGAGTAGAGGGAGAAGAAGGAGGTTGGCGGCCGCAGTGCTCCCTTCAAAACGAAGACCCAACACATAGGAGAGCTGGGAAAAACACGAGGAAGCAGGTGGGAGGAGGCAGGGAAGGGGAGGGAGAAGGGAGGAGGCGGGAGGAGGAGGACGCGCGAGCAGTGCACTAATCGAAACGAGAAGCCAACCAGGGGAAGGCTGGGAGCGAAACTGGGGAAACCAAAAGGTACCGATACCACTACCCCCTGGACCTCTCCCAGGGTGCGTTCTGACCAGGATTCCGAGGCGCATCCGGCGTTGGCGACGAGGGCCTTCCGGGAGGCCCACCACAGGGGAAAACGGGCGAGGGGGCAGCGGTGTGGGGGTACCTTTTGTCCGCCCCTGCTGTTCTGGACCAGACTCCAATCCAAGGGGAGGGCGGGGAACGAGCCACACCACCATAAAGCACAAGAGCAAAACAAACAACAAAGAGCACAGCAGCCAAAAAACGACGCAGACAACAGCCCATGGCCCGAGGCGGCCCGCGGCGCGGCGGGCGCCTGCGCCGCCCGGTCGCCCCGGCGGCCCCCCGCCACCTCCGCGGCGGCCTTGAGCTTGGGCGCCCCGCGGGCGCGGCGAGGAGGGCCCTGCGGGCAGCGCGCGGGGGGGGGGGGGGGGAGGCGCGCGCCGCGGGCGCCGCGGGCGGGGGGCCTCCCGGGAGGGGCTCGGCCAAGCCCAGACCCCCTCGAGGCAAGGCAAGAAGCCGTGCATCCCTGAAGGACGCGTGGGCAGAAATAGCAACTGCGAAGCTGCCGCGGCCGCAGCGGGCGCTTCTGGGGGGGAGGAGGTGGAGGAGGCAAGATGCTTCAGACGCTCAGGTGACCGAGGTTGTAGACGGATTGCGCCCATTGCTACCTGGGTCTCACTCTGCGCCGGCGGAATGCCCAATCTTTGGGCGTGCCAGACCCCCTCGAGTCATGGAAAAATCATGACGGGAGGTTTTTGTACATTTTCGGCCTCGGGGGGCTCCTACCGGGCCTCGGGGCCGTCAGGAAACGACTCATGATGGAAAACCGGTCCTGGGGAATGAGTCCAGACCCCTGGGGGTCGACGTCATGCAAAAAATCATGACGTCGGGGGTCTGGGAGCTAGCTGCGCTCGCGTCAGATCTGTCGTCGGAACCCTCCCTCCCAACCCTTCCCATGGCGCAGATCTCGTCTCTCTGCGCACAGGATGATGTCGAGCCGGGCAACGATCCCGAGAGGGTTTGCGATGCATGGTAAAGCACGGCGTAACATGGTGTAGAAGAGCGCGGCAGAGCAGAGCATGTCCATGGCTTGGCAGGCCTTACGTAGTGTAGCATTGCACCACAAAGCGTAACATCGCAAAGCATGGCATCGCACAGCGGGGCTAAGCGTACCCCCAGGACGGGACGACGCACTCCCAGGATAGCCCTGAGATCCTGGCCTGGCGACTGCATTTTTTTCGAGCCGGGCGCGTTCGCTCCATTTCGGGCCCTGGGGCCCTCACAGATCGATCCGGCTCGAAACATGGCGCAGGAAAGTGGGAGCCGGAGATCTGGTCGGAATTCTGTCATGATGTCGCATGCTTCTGCAGCGTCGCATGCCAGGGATAACAGAGGTGTCCAGCAGTAGCGCACCCCCAATGAAGTGTCGCCAAGGGGGCACATTAGGTCTCTCCCCTGAGGCTCCCGGGAGGGCCCTCTGCTCGTGCGACGACAACCAACCGTCTCTCCAGCCCCGAGATCTTGGCGCTGCATCTCTTCCACAGCGGGCGCTTGCGCCCAGGCTCGGGCCCCCGGGGCCCTCACAGACCGCTCCGTCTTGCAGAATGGCGCAGGAAGGTGGGGCCTGGGCCTCTGGTCCTGATTCTTCCGGTGCAGAAGGATACGCTGGCGCTGGCGCGGCAAACTCGTATAGGCCGCGGACAGCTCACGCTGCCGGGGGCCTCACGGCCCCAAGAGGGGAACAAGCTCGTGAAGGCAGCTGGCATCTCCAGCCCAGACCGACTCGGCGAACCGACCAGATGCTTCGAGGGTGACTCGGGCACATCCTCGGGAGCCCCAGCGCGAGACAGGAGCAGGGAAGGGCGAATCTTCGCCAAGGGTTGCCAGGACCTCCAAGCCAGAACACTTGGCACCCACAGCAGACTCCACAGAATGCTTGGGGCCCTCCTCTGCTCCGATCATCCCTCCGGAGAAGCCCGCACGTCTTGGACGTGGCCACGCTGCCGAGGGGCTGCCTTGTCGGTCCCTGGGCCCGACCCGCTCCGGTGCCGAGCGAGGCGGGCCTCGTCCTCGCGGCGGCCGCATCCCGTTCTAGCCACACGTGGATGCCCCGCTGCAGCAGCAGCGTGGGCCGTGCGGGGGCATCTGAGGCAGCGGTGCTCCGCGCGCGCGCACGCTGCGGCTCTAGCCAGGCGCAGGCCCAAGATTCGCGGTGAAACGGGGATGAAGCATGGGCAGGTGGAGGGATGCACCAGGAGTGGCGGAGGACGGAGAAGGCAGGAGAGATGACAGTGGAATGGGGCTAGATGGGGGCCTGTGTTGGACGTGTGTGGGGGCAGCACCGGAGCAGGGACAGGGGGCGGAGCTCAGCGCGAGAAGGAGAGAGGCGGCGTGCCGTGACCGTGACGTCGGTGCATCACGGCGCCTTCGCCCGCTGCCTCGTGAGCGTCCTGACTCGCAGCCGCATCTGCCCGCACCCCTGCCGCTGTGGCACCGAGCTCCTCAAGGCGGGCGAGATGCTCAAGTGAAGGGCAGCGAGAAGGGGGGGATAGGCACAGGGGGGGGTGCATCCACCTGGAATCGGTGATACATCGTCGATAGATCGGCGATAGGCCTCCGATAGTGAATCCGCACCTTCCTGGGCAGGTTGGAGCTATCGAGTCGCTATCGGCGATCAATGGGCGATTGGGGGTCGATGCATTCCCCCCTATGCCTATCCCCCCCTATCGTTGCCCTGATCAAGACGGCGCGGCTACAGATTCTAAGAATCCAGCCAGCGATTGCCATACAGAAGTGTTCTCACCGAGCATCGGACCAAGCCGTCGGCAATACTGGCCGCGCCGACTGGTGCGGCAAGGTCTGCACGCCACGGGGCAAGCGCGCTTAGCGCTCCCAGCCCCATCAAAGGAGTAACAATCAATCGTGCAGCCCGCCGGGTCGAGTTGGACCGTTCCTGTCCTCCAGAAAGTTTGGGCTGGCCCTACACATTGGGTCGATTGGTCTCCCAGAGTGCGCTGATGAAGCTCGCTCCAAAAACCTACGTCTGCACTCAGGAGGGGCAACGCCCCCCCCCTAAGCTGGCCGTGACGATGCGCACCAAGAGCGGCAGGCCACCCTGGTCTCGGAAAACACGTGCCAAACTCACAGATAAAAAATATCCTTAGAGCCCCCACCATTCCCCACATCCGCCTTCCGCTTTCCCCAGGTTCCACCAACGCCTTCCACCACCTCAGTTTCTGGTGGATGGTGGTTGTGTGCAAGGACGATCGGCGCGCTCTCGGCTAGTGCAGCTGTCGTGCCCTGGGGTCCCTATCGTTCTCGCAAAACTCCACCCTACCGAAACCCTTTGGGCCAATGACCCAATAATCTGGTGCATCAGATGTGGAGAGTACCCATCTAGGTGACAGACGTTATGGATCGTGTTGGCGCGGTGTTGGAGCGCAGAGCGCAGAGTGGCAGGATGGGGTGGATGAGGAGGAGGGGAGGAGGAGGAGGAGAAGGGAGGTGAAAGAGGAAGACAATCAGGGATGGGAGGAAGAGGAGGTGAAGGGTGAAGGACAGCAAGCCCGCATCTCCGCACATGCCCGCACATCCACAACATCAACCACCGGGGGATATCCGAAAGGGACCCCCTGTGAACAGCTCCGTGCACATACCCCCGCACACGCCGGACAAGTGCCCGCTCCCCTGCACGCGTCGATCGTCGATGGGCCACTGCCCGCCCTACGAACATCGGGGACGTACTGACCAGGGTCAACGCCAACCTGGGTCAGCCAGACCTGCTGCAAGATCCTGCAGTGTCCTGCGGGACCCTGCGCGCTGGCCGGGGTCAGTGCAGCCCTGGCCCTGCAGGTTCCCGCAAGATCCCGCGCCCTGTCTGGCCCCCGTCCCTTGGGCCCCGTTGAACACATGGCCGCACACGCTCAGCAGTGCCAGCCACAGCATGCTCCGTGCAGGCTCGCCCGCCTCCCTCCTCCCGACAGCCCGCCCGCAGTCTTTGGGCGGCCTGGCGGGGGCATCCGAGAAGCTGCACCTGGGGTGGCCACGGTGCGACAGAACTTGCACCTGCACTGGAGGCGTACCCAGAAACCCTCGGGCCATGAAAATACCACGACGGAGGGCTCTTCGCTATCTTCGGCCTCCAGGGGCTCTCACAAGAGCCTCGGGACCGTCCAAAAATGACTCAGGATGAGAAAGTGGTCATGGGGAATGGGTCGAGGCCTTTGGAGAGACTGGAAGCCTTCTAGATGAGGTCGGAGTGGATATGGTCAGAGAATCGCGCCGCATCGCCGATGCATCGCCGATGCATCGGCGATGCATCGGCGATGCACAGGAGATGCACTGGCGATGCATCGACGACGTCGGCGATGCATCTGCGACGTCGAGGTGAAGCAAATCGGGCTCCTCGTCGAGCCGCATCGACGATGCATCGGGGACGTGGCGCGATCCTCCGGCCCCATTTACTCCGACCCCACCTAGGCGGCCTGGATCGACGTGACGTCGGGGGGCTGGGGTGCGAGCATGCCACGCGAGGTCCCCGGCGTCGCCCACGCGCGCTACGCGAGCGGTGATCCGGCGAGCGCCCGGGAGATCAGCATGCCACCGAAGAGGCGACTGTACGAGGAGTAGGCGGGGGGGGACCAGGGGGAGTCGGAGCAGGAGACGGCGCGGTAGGAGCCGTCCAACGACACGCCCCCGTACAGCAGCATCTCCTTTCGGCGACAGGCCCCGGGAGGGAGGTGAGAAGGGGCGGGCCTTCTCAGAGGACTCGGAAGTCCCCCGGCCTTCGGAGGAGTGTTCAAGCCTCCCCCGAAGACACAAAGAACCTCTCCAAGGCCCGAGGCCTTCTGAGAAGCCTCGCCGCCTTCTGAGAAGGCACTCTCCTCCTCACGTTCCCCCCCGTTCGCTCGGCGCCGATCCTCGCCCGTCCACACTGCGGCGTGCCCGCGGAGCGGGGGCGGGGCTATCGGCTGGATGGCCACGGGCATCAGCACCTGGTCAAAGTCCGGCGACCCCGTGACTGTCAGATTCATGAGAGCACGGAGGTTGAACAGCTGCAGGCAGCGCACGGACCTGTCTTCTGCTCGGCGGCTGCAACAGGAGCGGGTCGCCACAGCTGGCCATCCCACCAAGTTCCCTCTTCACAAGTCCCGACCAGAAGTTATTGTCATCGCGGGGCGTGCCCCATTGGACGACAACCGTCTGGGAATCGTCAACCGCGCCAGAGCACGCTCCTCCTCCTCCTCCTCCTCCTCCTCCTCCTCCTCCTCCTCCTCCTCCTCCTCCTCCCCCTCCTCCCCCTCCTCCCCCTCCTCCCCCTCCTCCCCCTCCTCCCCGGCGTCGCGGGTGCTTCGCTGCCCCGCGCCGCAGCACGCAGAGCACGCGGCGTGCCGGCACGGAGCGCAGCTCGCTTAGGCTGGAAAGCGTCCGTCCGGCGGCGGGGTGCGTCCGCCACCACTGCAGGGGCCCCAGGACACCCAAAGAAATGCACACACATAAAAATGTCCCCCATAGTTTCCCATATATGTTCTGGGTGTCTGTCTTCCCCCCCCACTTCCCATATGTTCCCATATTTTCTGGGAAATCGCCTATTAATTGTGTGTGTATGTGTGTGTATGTGTGTGTGTGTGGTTGGTGTGTGTGTGGTTGGTGTGTGTGTGTGGTTGGTGTGTGTGTGTGTGTGTGTGTGTGTGTGTGTGTGTGTGTGTGTGTGTGTGTGTGTGTGTGTGTGTGTGTGTGTGTGTGTGTGTGTGTGTGTGTGTGTGTGTGTGTGTGTGTGTGTGTGTGTGTGTGTGTGTGTGTGTGTGTGTGTGTGTGTGTGTGTGTGTGTGTGTGTGTGTGTGTGTGTGTGTGTGTGTGTGTGTGTGTGTTTTTTCCCCTCCTTAAACACGTGGGCCCGCACGTGCCGAGCCAACGCGCAGCAGGTCGGCCTGGTCGCCTCGAGCACGGCACGCGCTGCGCCTGCAACACGTGCGTGGCAGGGCAACTGTGCTGGGGCACCTTTCCGCGCGCCCCCCGGGAGCTTCTCGTCGACACGCCTGGGTGGATGGGCCCTCGGAGGGGTCTACACCCTGCGAAATGCTTAAGAAATCATGGGTTAAGAAATTCATAGTCTCAGAACTTGAATGAAAAAACAAGAATGTCTAGTCAAATCTTAGGATTTACATTGAAGCATTAAGAATAATCGGGACTCTGGCCGAAAACTTTGGTTTTCTTAAGCATCGCCTAGAGTGTACGGACGGATTGAAACGGACGTTTGAGCCGGGCGGGAAAGCTGGCGTTGTCTCAAACCTCGGCGGCGAGCGGAGGGGGGGAACATGAGAGGGAGAAGGCCTTCTCAGAAGGCGGAGGAGGCCTTCTCAGAAGGCCTCGCGCCCTCTAAGAAGTTCTCTGTGTCTTCGGGGAAGGCGCAGAAAACCTCTCAGAAGGCTGGGGGACCTCCGAGCCTTCTGAGAAGGCCCGCCCCTTCTCACTGCCCCCCCGGGCGCGCCGCCGAGAACTACTCGTACGACCGGGGCTTTGGTCTCTGACACCGCGGGGACCCTTCCACCTCTCGCGATCGGCTGTGTCCGAAACTCGGCTACACGTAAGGAATGACCCTGGGCAAGAGTGACCTCTGGTGCGCGCATGACGGGCCGTTGCGTGCGGTGCGGCAGCGGCGGCCTGCGCGAGTTTCGACGGTCATTTGTGTCTGCGTTTCTGTTCCCCTCCTGAACCTGGCCCGTTGGCATGGAGAGGAAGCGAGTCGTGAGGGAGACGGGTCCTGGATCCCGGGTCGGGTCCTAGACCCCCAGGACCAGTTCCTCGCTTTGGGCAATTAATTGTTCAGGCTTCCAGGGCCCGTGGAGGGCCCTCGGGGCCCGAGGAGAACCCCAGGATGTGCTTTTCCCTCTCCTCCTCCTCCTCCTCCTCCTCCTCCTCCTCCTCCTCCGTCCTCCTCCTCCTCCTCCTCCTCCTCCTCCTCCGTCCTCCTCCCTCCGTCCTCCTCCTCCTCCTCCTCCTCCTCCTGTTCCTCCTCCTCCGTCCTCCTCCTCCTCCGTCCTCCTCCTCCTCCTTCTCCTCCTCCTCCTCCTCCTCCTCCTCCTCCGTCTTCTCCTCCTCCTCACCTCCGTCCCTCCCTCCTCCTCCTCCTCCTCCTCCTCCTCCGTCCTCCTCCTCCTCCGTCCTCCTCCTCCTCCGTCCTCCTCCTTCCTCCTCCCTCCTCCTCCTCCTCCCTCCTCCTCCTCCCTCCTCTCCTCCTCCTGCGTCCTCTCCTCCTCTCCTCCTCCTCCTTCCTCCTCCTCCTCCTCCCTCCTCCTCCTCCCTCCTCCGTCCTCCGTCCTCCTCCTCCTCCTCCTCCTCCTCCTCCTCCTGGGGCCCCGTGCCTTCCTGGCGCGCTGGGCACACCCGCGCCTCCTGTTGCCTCCGCCGGTGGCTACCCGGAGCGCCAGCAGGTCGTTGGCGCCCCCGTCCCCGCCCCCGAAGAAGAGCACGTGCCCCCGCGTCGCGACGGCCGAGTGCCCCCCGCCCGCGGCCAGGCCGAGCGGGTGCGGCAGCACGGGCAGCCAGCGCAGCCGGGCGGCGTCGAAGGGCCAGATGCCGTCGTCGAGGTCCTCCGGCGGGGGGTGGGGGGGGGCGACGACGGTGGCGAGGGCGGCAGCGACGACGGCGACGACGACGACGCCGAAACCGACAGGGGCGACGGCGAGGGCACGGGCACCAACAGGGACGCCGGCAGTGAGGGGCGACAACTGCGACGACGGCTAGGAGGGCGACGCTTGCGACGGCGCCTGGTGAGCGCAATGTGAGATGGCCGCCAGGGTTGCCAAGGGAATACGGGGGCTTAGAAGCGGATGCTGAGGTGGGTAATCTCTGGCCTGACCTAGCTTGTGAAGTGGGTTATAGGTGCCCTTGGTGGTCTAGGCGAGCTAGATAACTTCGCTCAGTGGCCAGAGCCCACTTAGCCGATCGTCAACCCCCCTGAGCCACTCAGGGCACTTGTGACCCGCTTATGGGCTTGGCTAGGCCATAATGTGTGTTTCTATATACACTAGACCCACGCGCCCGCTCCCTTCGCGCTTAAGTTCTAGCCAGCTCCAGCCCGTAACAGTGTCACAGTTGCGAACAGATGCGTACGCACAGTGCACAGATGCAGCGTCAGGAGTCACCCACAAGCTCTTCGAACATGTGGAGAAGTAGTAATTCAGAACGTGGACCGAGCAGAGACGATATCAGACCAGGCTCGCTACGAAGATCCCAAGTGCGCCCCAGGGGGAGCCCAGGAGAAATTCAAAGGGCAGTCGAAGATGGTCCCAAGAGCGCCTCGAGAGGATCAGACCCCTGAGCCTCGGGCCTCAATCCTGAAGATTTTCTCAAGGGCTCGAGCCCGAAAATCTCTAATCTCTGGGGGCTGGTCGCTGTTTCTCTGGAGTTTCCGGCGTGCCCTCTGGGCTCCAGGGCGGCTTCCCGCATTACTTGACCGGGCACACAAGGGCCCCAAGACGGACCAAGAGGTTCCCAAGAGACCGCCAAGACGGTCTAAGAGGGCCCCGAGACGGCCAAAGATCGGGCGAAGACGCGGGAAGAGGCCTGCCGAGAGAGCCCCGAGAGGTGAACGTCTGTGATGTTTACAAGGTGTTTGAAAGACTTTGGCCTTCTCGCCTTTTCGGCTGTCCGACGCCTGAAGACGTCCCAAAACGCTCCGAAGACCGCCCCAAAAATGAAGAGGCACCCAAGAAGGCCCCCAAACGGGCGAAGACAGCCGCAAGACAGCCCAAAAGGCGACCAGGACTGTCCAAAGACGCCTAAGACGGCACCCAAAAGGGCCAAAGAGGTGGACCACGAACTGGACATTCGAGACTTCCGCCCCGAGAGAATCCCCAAAGAGGCCCCCAAGACGCCGCAGGAGGCCCCGAAGAAACTCAAAAGAGGTACCAAGATGTCCCAAAAGGGCCACCGAGGGGCCCTAAAAATTCCTCAGGGTGGCCCCCAGAGCCGTCTTTGGGCACTCTCAAGCCGTCTTGGGCGTCTCAAAGACTACGACCCTCCGGTCACTGCTGGGTTCGCGTTCCCCTTTGTGGGCATCTCGTGGAGCCGTCTTGGTGCCCTCTCGGGATGTCTTGGGCCTCTCAGAGACTGTCTTGAGGCCCTCTTGGGCCGTCTTGGGGTTCTCTTGGAGGCCTCTTGGGGCGTCCGGGAGGCCTCTTGAAGAGTCTGGGGCGAATTCTGGGGGCATCTCTACCGTCGTTGGTCGCGTTGGCGGTCCGGCAGGGCCATTTCTGGCAGTCCGGGGCCGAATTTTGGAGTCCCGAAACGGTGCGGTGCAAGACCGTGCGGTGACCTCGAAATCCCCCAAGACCTCACCACGAGGTCCGTCAACGCACGGTTTTGGGACCTCGGATGCCCCTGTCGCCCGAGACATCCCCGGAGGGGGACTCGAGTCCCAAAACCTTGCGGTGACCCCGAATCCCTACCGACTCACCACACGGTGTGGTCACCACCCCGTCTGGGGGCCCCCGACGACTTCGGGCGATCTTGGAGGGCCCCTGGCGCCCCGGAGGCGCCCCGGGGCCCCCGGCACACCCATGCGTGGTCGGGGTCGCGGCCCCGGGGCCCCGAGGTCCAGTCCCACGTTATATGTACGTAACATTAGGTCGTCCCCCTTCAGGCGGATCTAGAAAGAAAAATAAAACATAGTCAAAAGATACCCCCAAATAGTCAACAATAGTGACAAAATCGTATCCAGACTATGTTTTGACTATTTTTGTATATTCCCCCTGTAGAGGGACAGGCCCGACTTAAACGTAGCACCCCGCGGATGCGGATAAGAGTGAGGGGGCGGTGTGGGACGTCGGCAGTCTGCGAGACTCTGGAGAAGCCCGCCGCAGGCGCCAAAGTTCCACCAATTACGCAACGAGCCCGCCGCAGGCGCCGATTTTCTCTTCCAGCCAATGTGGATCGGTAGCGGGTGGGTCGCGGGTGGGTCGCGGGTGGGTCTCGGGGTGGGTCGCGGGGTGGGTCGTGGGGTGGGTCGCGGGGTGGGTCGCGGGGTGGGTCGCGGGGTGGGTCACGGGGTGGGTCGTGGGGTGGGTCGCGGGGTGGGTCGCGGGGTGGGTCGCGGGGTGGGTCGCAGGTGGGTCGCGGGGAGGACGACAACAACAACAACAACAACAACAACAACAATCACTTTACCCGAACGCTCAGTGTTCTCACCAGTGCCAGGGTTTTCATGCGACGCCAGCCAATACCCCCACTTTGTGGGGGGGCAGTGCAAGCTCTACCAAATATCCACACGACTCTTCGCCACCACCCACACCCAGCTTCCCGCCCTATGACGTTCGGACACTTCACTTCGTGGCCTGCGGACGACCGTGGCTACTACACTGGCGTGGAGTACACACCCACAGAAGTTGTTAAGCCTGTTCGTCCTCACGGCGGGCTCTTGGGGCCTCTTGAAGGCCTCCTGGGGCAACCTATGGCGCAACCAGTAGGGGGACGTTTTATTCTCGGCGGCCGAGGGCGCAACCTATGGCGCAACCAATAGGGGGACGTTTTATTCTCGGCGGCCGAGGGCGCAACCTATGGCGCAACCGCAAGGGATTGTGGCCCCTGGCAGGCGCGCGAACCCCGTTGCAAGAGCGTGCGAAAGTAGCTCGCGCGAGCTCATGTAACATAAATGTTGGAAAACCATTGGTTTTTTTTAGGATTCGGACAGCGCGCGCGGGTAGAAATTTTGAAAAGTCGTGCAGGTGTTTTTCGAGGACCTACGGTGCGATTCGTGTGATTTTATGATGCGCGGTGCTAAAATTCTTAAGAAGCCCAATGGTTTTTGGAGATTTCGGCGTGCGCGCGCGAAGAAAAAACGAATGTGTCCCGCATGGTATTATTTGACAGGGATGATGGCCCTGGCAGGTGCGCAACCGTTGTCGCAGAAGTTCGAAAAAGTTGCTCGCAAAAGCCCGTTTGACAGAAATGTTTAAAAAGTGTTGGGTTTCCTACGAATCCGCAAGAGCGCGCGGGATGAGATTTTGACAATTTTTTGTTGAAAAACCATTGGTTTTTTGATGTTTTTATGTTAAAATCGCTGCGAACACTAAGGTTTTGGAAGGATTTCGTCTTGCGCGCGCGAATGTCCACTTTACCTTATTTTTTGCAAGGGATTCTTGAAATTTGATTATATTAGAACAAGAAATGTCATTTTATAGTGTTTTTTGCAAGAGAAAACGGATTACAACAAAACAACCGGATCTGGATCACATCGTTTTACCTGAGGCTTCCTCACGAAAATGATGAAAACGTCGCTGCGGCCTAGGCGCGGCGGGGGGGGCGTGCACCAGGGGGCCCAACAATAATTATTCTTTAGAAGTAATAATATTCAACAACAACAACAACAACAACAACAATAATTGTAAGACTGTTCGCCCTTATATGCTCGAGTGTCCAACGACGCGTATTTCCCAAACCCTCGATACCCGCCCTCTTCGTCTTCGATCGAACCCCTTTTGGGGGGTATACCTTTCTTCCCTGCAGGCCCGGCCCCGGCAAGCGGCGGGGCGGCGGCGGACCGTCGGCCTGGCCAGCGGCAGCGCTGATCGGCGGGGCGGCCGCGGACCGTCGACCCGACCCCAAGAGGGACGGACAGGGGATCGACCACGACGACGACGACGACGACGTCGACGACGACGGCGACGACGACGACGGCGACGACGAGCGAAAGCGAGAGCGAGAGACAACGGCAGCAGGGCCACGAAGGGCACGAAGTAGGCCACGAAGGGCGACAGCGGGGACACGAAGGGAATGCGTATGGGGCCACGAAGAGCGCGAACGAGCGGCGGCCACGAAGTGCAGATAATGCGGGGCCACAGAAAGCAACTATGGGGCCACTGAGGGTAGCAACTGGGCCACGTAGGACAGTGAGGGGGACACAAATGGCGACAGCAGGGCCACGAAGGGCATGCACATGGGGCCACAACGGGCGCGACTCCTGGGTGCCTGGGTGTCGGGAGCGCGACGCTTGGGTAAATTGCAAGACTTTCCAACGCAAGGCCATTCTTCAGTAAGTTGCAAGCAAGTCTCCAGCGAGAGCGCGACTCCAAAGCGCCGGAAGAGCGATTCCTGAATAAACTGTAAGGAAGTCCCCAGCGAGAGCGCGATTCCTGAATAACATGCGAGGAAGTCTCGGGCGGGAGCGGGGGTCCTCGCTAAATTGTAAGGACGTCTCAAGCGGGGGCCGTTGTTGTTGTAACCCGGGGGACAGGGGCCCAGTTTGAGCAGGAAGACTTTCGCTGTCAAAAAAAGGGTGCGAGCGTCGAGGGGCACACTCTGATTGAGAAAAAGCAGTATGCACCGGTGGGGGGGATCAACAATAGTTATTCTTCAGAAAGGAGAATTCAACAACGACGACGACGACGACGACAAAACCAATGAATTTACCTTCATGTGCGTTGTTTCCACACGAAACATGCGACCATCATGGTAACCATCCCCATCATGGGGGATGATTGTTCTATGGTGGGGTCCGTTATTCCCATTCCCAGATATCTCGCCCAATGAGGTCTTGCAAACACATCCTCCGAGGAATTTCAACAGATCCCGCCTCGACAACGCATGCCCG